AAGATTAGGCTTCAAACTTTCCTTTTTGCTAAAGCATATAGTTAGGGCTGGACCAGGTGACCCTGAATCCTCCCTTAGTTATGCTGCAGTAGACGTAGGCTGCCGGGGGATTCCCATGAAAGAAAGAGTATTTCTTCTTCACTCACCTTTTTCACATTGTGTTTATACAGCTCTCTGCATGTAATCATTACATATTATTAATGTCTGTCTCTCCTATATAGTTTTTTCTTTTTCCTCCCTCTCCTCATGACTGCCCCATACCTAGGTCTGGTTCTGCCAAGGTTCCATTTAAAGGGAGTTTTTCCTTCCCATTGTTGCCAAGCGCTTGCTCAAAGGGGATGTTTGTTGGGGTTTCCTCTCTTTTATTGTAGGTTCTTTATCTTACAATATAAAGCACCTCGCTATGATTCAGGTTCACAAACCAGAACACAATCTGTCCTACATTAAAGGAAATGCCAGTGCTCTATGTTTAGTGCTTGCTTCAGCTGCCTCAGCCCTACAAAAGTATTCAGAAGAATTTTCCACATTAGGAAATGAGAAGTATCTCCTGGACAGGGACACAGTGCCTATATTCTGCATATGATTTAATACAGAAACTGCAGTATTGTGTATAGGGTATACTCATCCTAGCATGCATCATATTTTTATATATAGACTGCAATAATAATAGGGTTTAATACATTTTTATATTTCTTTATCAATATTCATATTTTTGAATTTGTATCCCATATTTTTATTCTCTTTTTTCCCCATTTATAATTTACGTATTTGTTTTGCACATTGTGAGACAGGAGATGATATGGTAGTATTGACAATAAAGCATTGTTGGCATCGAACAATGCCTCGTATATTAAGAAAATTATGATTGGCTGAGATGTATCCAAGTCTTTTCCACCTTGACAAAAGACGCATCAATGTTAGGCGAGTACAAAAGAAAGCATCGTCCAATCACTAAATAATAACGTTGCTTCTTCAAAATAAAAGCACCCACCAGAATGTCGAGACAGGCAGCTTTCAGTAGTGTGATCTGGTCTGCAATGGTCAGCCCCGTGAAGCCAGGCACTCGTTTGGCAAACTCCACAATCTTGATAATGCACTTAGTGGCCAGCTCGCTGAACTTGTCCCACAGTCCTAGGTCCAGCCTCACACGGTGGTCTGCACTCGAGTTCTGCATCACACATATATACGCATACACAGAGAGCAGTGTCAGGCCAAGAGACAGCTACTGTCGTCATTGCTGCTAATGATCTCTTCACTCTGCTCCACATGTCTCAGACGTGCATATAGAATATATTCACCATAAAACCCAAGCTCTCAAAAACACAAAGATTGTTGTTGTGAATATGCTGTACTGAGCCTGGTGGCTAGGCCCTGCGATAATGAGCCTAACAGTGTCAGAGGGATGCTTTGGCAATGACGGGATGCAGCAATGGAGCAGTGACAGATAGTGCAGAGCAGTTTGAAGCCAGGGTATCATTAATACAGCTATATGGTGCAGAATCTATCCAAAGATGACAGGGAGGCAAGGATGGTTGGAATCCATAGAGCAATAAAAACAGGAAAGAGTAAAAGTGATTCAGGGGAGGAAAGAAAGAAAAGTAATGGCAAATGAAGGGCTAGAGTCGGGAACTGTAAGAGGGAAAGGCAATCCTGAGATAATGTCTCATGGACCAGTGCGTTAAAGTGAGAATCATTACAACAGATTGTTGATTTGTGGAATTTAACTTCAAATCATAACATAGTCTGTGACTTTCACCTCTGCTGTGATTTGTTCTGATTATTTCTTGAGTTATTGGCCAAGATGAATCCTAGACTCATTGTTTTTCTATTTTTCTTTAATTATTTTATGATTTTATTTTTTCTTGTTCAGTAGCAGAACTCTGTTTAGGGCTTAAATGCAGTCAAGTCAGGTTTAATATTTGAGATGAAAATGTGAACGAGTGATTGTCTCTCAGAGATCATGTGTGTTTGTTAAATATCATGACAGAGAATGTTTATTCACATAACGTCCACTATCAGATTTTGATCCACTGTGTAATATACAAACCCACATAGCAGACAGGTCTGGCCTGGATCAAGCTGGCACTTCTGACTGACCGGTGTCATGGCAGGGTGTCTGTCAACCAGATGTGGCCCATGTATGGGCCACATCTGGCAAACCAGGTCTGGGCCACCAAAGGGCCTTTGTTCTTTGCGGTATGTGGGCCATGTGTAAGCACATTGTGTGGGCCAGATCCGGACCATACCAATTTGCTATGTTGGAAAATGTTATTCGCCAGTATGACAATCAACCCAAATACACTGCCAGTGCAGTAAAAGGACACCTGGATAGAAAACACACACAATGAAACACTATGAGGAGTTGTGCCCCAGACCTTAACATTACTGAAGCAGTGTGAGATTACTGTGACAGAGAAAGGACAAAAGGCAGTGAGCGTCGAAAGAAGAGCTCTGGATTGTCCTTTAAGAACGGTCCTTGAAGAACTATGCCTGAATAATAATGACTAAAGAAAGAGAGTTCAGTCTGTGTTGAAGAATGAGGGTTTTTTTTTACAGACTGGTTACATAATTCCCATTTCAACAAAATGGAAAAAGAAATGAAAGGCAACTAAAGACCTTTGCACAGATTGTACCTGAGCAGGTGGCATTGAATGGAAGATGATTGAATGTAAATCATGAATGGCTGTTGATTGGTTTCAGAATTTTTTGATCACAACTTTTACATGGATAGGCAAACTGTGTGGCAAACCAATCAGGCGAGGAGCAGGCCAGAAAACAGAAGACATACAAATGGAAACGGCAGGATACCAGCAAAGTGTGAACTGGTTGGCAGACTGAAAGCAAAGTGATGCAACCTGGAGCAGTAATCGCAAATGACGGGCGCTGAAACAAAGAGAGAAAGCAAAAATAACAAGGAAAAACAACGTGCATGATTATAAAACAATCATGAAGCCAGGCACTCGTTCGTCAAACTCCACAATCTTGATAATGCACTTTGTGGCCACCTCGCTGAACTTGTCCCACAGACCGAGGTGCAGCCTCACAACAACATGCATATTAATAAAACAATCATACTATGAGGACTGGTGTAAATGGTATGGGATTGTGAAGGAACTAACGTGGTGATCATTAATGGGCCACAAGCCAGGATTATACTTTCCACGTCTGCAAGTCCAGCAGGGTACCCACCATAAGACAGGCGTGCAGACATCCACATAGAGCCTCGTCTGTTTTCTTTGCATTCTGTTTGCTTGTTTTCTGTTGTAAATTCATCCATGGAGAATTTAAATCTCAACGCACCAATACGCATGCGCTCCAGCTGGTAGACTTCAAAGAAGTATAACAGTATCGACTAGTAGGCTGTACTAGGAAACACTAACTGACAGCAAAAATGGGACATGGGAGTTTGACAGTCAAGAAAGAATGAGTGGCTATCCATCTATCTGGATTTTTGCTTCACACAACAGCTCGCACAACTGTGTTAAAAATGACACATTAAAGATGTCTGTGTAGTTGCCCTGGCCTACAGAAGCACTGTGATGTGGCAGGAGTGCACACAGTGTGACTCACAGACCTCAGGAGATATGGACACAAAGCCTTTGTGTTACTGTAATTGACTGTTGCTGTTCCAATCACAAATGCAACTGCTCAGAGATGCTGACAGAGGGCTTTGTCTCACCAAGCAAACTCCTTGGACAATTAGCTTGTTTATTCTCCATAAATAACTATTATAAAGTCAAGAGCAGAAAGCATCTGAGTTCACATTAGATTTACAGACTAACCAGAGAGACTCATTATTGTGTATTTTTCATGTCAGTGACAGAGGTGATATTTAAAATGTTTGTTTGAAAAATAAAACCTACGTTTTGTTGTGCTCGAAGAAGGAAAAATGAACATTATATTACGTATGATAATATATTTAACAACAGCAACCTACAGTACAATAGAAGAAAACTATTGAACTAGACAGTCACCAGGTTAAACCATGCGATGAACTGCTTGGGGTGCACACCGTAACTTCATGAATTCTAGGTACCTTCTTTATTACCAATCCAATGCACACATATACACGAAGCAACATTCAAATCAGTTCAGAGCTTTTATGTAACGTGTTGTTTCTGGGTTTTTGGTTGATACTCTGTCTCTCGCTGTTAAAATTAAACTACTGTAAAAATAGAGACTGCTCATTTCTTTGTAAGTGAGCAAACAAATTTATCAGGGATCGAATAATTATTTCTCCTGCTGTATCTACCAAGAATAGCAGGAAATGAACTAAACAGAGAAATGTGCAGTCACTTGCTTAACTTCCTCTTTTGGGGATGTCTATAAAGAGCCCATAGACGAGCTGGAGTGATACTCGACTGGTCTTTCACCTAATGAAGACCCACTTCAGTGGCGAAAGGTGAGCAGTTGCTGCTTCGTGCGGCGACTATGGCAGATGTAGTGCTTCCCACGGTTACGTCAGCTTGGGATCTCTCCATCCCTGCTACATCTGTTCCAGCTGAAAGATTTTACTTCTGCTGCTGGACTTATTTGAAATAAACTGAGATCTCATCATTCATGTCGACATTTTGACCTGAACAAAAATGTTACTTCAGCTGAGTGAGTACACTTATGATGTCATTAGCTGATTGCTGATTTTTGTATAAAACAAACAAACATACAAAAACCCTCTTAATCTAAGCCTGATTGTTTTTAATGGGTTTTCTGTTGTTACTCATTTTGAGGGATGATGATTCATGGTTGTGTTGCTGTTAGATTTAGTGCACTGTGACACACTATTAGTCGCAGTTGATTTGTTTTTCAAGTTTTACGTGAACATTGTTTGCAGTACTGCATTTTCACAACGCACATGAAAGTCAGCTTATTTTATTTTTCCGCCTTGTGTTCGTTGTCTTTTTGTGTAATGTTCATAATGTGCGAATTGATGTGGCCCACAGTTAAGCGGCTTTTAAAGTGTGACATTTTATTAAAGAACATGGTTTGAAATGCTGTTGTTCAGGGCTTTTTGGAGATTGTCCATGACAGAAATAAGTCTACCTACCTGTTTGCCAACACCCCACCTTCATCTTTATTGACAGTTAACTATGTCACACACTGTTCAGTCTTTTAATTCAGCTGATTTTTTAACTAATATTTTTATGTGTTTTTAGCTGATTTAGTTTCAGTGTTACTTGGTCCTCGCTGTCACCGCACACACTCATGTAAGGAATATTTTGCTGAACATTAAACAGAAATGAAGAAAGTATTTAAAGTGAGCTCCTGCAGTAATATTAATCCATTTGACGCTGTTGGAGGACATTTTTGTACAGAATAATAATTCTTAGTTTTGATGTTTTATGCACATTTCAAATAGTAGACTTTTATGTGTACTGTGGTCTTTTCATGATGTTTTCTTGCTTCTTTTCCTAAGGGAATATTTTTCAAAATGACTCCACCATTGGTCATACTCATGTAATAATAACAACAGATATGTATTTAACTACATTGGCATTTATATTTTACAATCTTAAGCCAGCAAGGAATGCAGAAACATGTCTGCATGCTACATGTCCATGTATTGTGCAGACAAAGATCAGATTGTATAAATCAATCTGATGTTGTTTATCTTGTTAAATTGTTAAATAGTGATAGTTTTTGTTTGTCTGTTTATGGGGGCCCACAGATTAACTGAAGAACAGTGGGTGGAAGGGTAAGGGTGGTTAAAACCGAGCTCGATCCCAGGATGCCATTTTTGGACAGGTCACAATAATTTACGCTGGCCTTGTAGTTGCAGAAGTTAATGGTTTTAATATTACCGCTTCTCTTATTCAAATGATTACTGTCATAATGAGAGAAAAACTGCCAAGAAGGTGTATCCTCTGGACAGGAGAAAGACAGCAGAATTCATGGTTCCATCGACCACAGCAAGTCTTTCAGGTCCTGAAGCAGCAAAACAGCCCCTGACCATCACACTACCACCAACATATTTTACTGTTGGTTCGATGTTCCCTTTGCTGTGTTAGCTTAATGCCAGATTTAATGGAACTCAAACCTTCCAAAGAGTTCGGCTTTTGTCTCTTCAGAATATTTTCCCAAATGTCTTCAGCATTGTCTCGATGTTTTGGGCAAATGTGAGACGAGCCTTTGTGTTCTTTACTTTTCCAGCAAGTGTTTTCTCGTTGAACATAGATGCCATTTTTGCCCAGCCTCTTTCTTGTGGTTGAATTATGAACTCCGACCTTAACTGAGACATGTGAAGCCTGTGGTTCCTTAATGTTGTTCTCAGTTCTTTTTTTGACCTCCTGGATGAGTCTCAGTTGCTCTTGGAATCATTTTGGTAGGCCAGCTTCTCCTGGAAAATATTCACCACTGTTCCAAGGTTTCCCCATTTGTGCATAATGGCTCTCACCATGATTCACTGGACTCCCAAAACCTTAGAAATGGCTTTGTAACCCTCTTCAGACTGATGATTGCCAGTGACTCATGTGTTTCCTTCGATCTTAGCAATATTTGTTGCTTTTGAGATCTTTTAGCTTGCATCAGGGAGGTTCTATTTAGGTGATTTCTTGACTCAACAGGTCTGCCAGTAATCAGGCCTGAGTGTGTTTAGTGAAACTGAACACAGCTTTCCAAAAAATGTGGTTAATCACAGTTAATTCATGATTTAACAAGAGGGGCAATGACTTTTTCACACAGGATTAGGCGGGGTTGGATAACCTTTCTCCCTTAAATAATGAAATCATCATTTGAAAAACACATCTATATACTCTGGTTATCTTTGTCTAATATTACAGTTTGTTTGATGATCTGAAACATGTAAGTTTGATATATAGTGATTAGGGGTGGGCTTTGATGATTGATTTATCGATTAAAATCGATTCTAGCTTGGATAATGTAAAATTGATTCATTAAAATCCTGAATCGACTTTTAAATCGCCAGAGCCTCAGGTTAAACCTCACAACATTTCAACAACCACCAAACAGCTAAAACAGTAAATGAGAGCAGGAACACAGATTCTGCACAGAGACACAAACACAAAGCTCGGACCGCCGACGGATCAGGATCAGTGAGATGTGACACGGTCGGGGCTGAAAGCCGACAGCTCGCTGATTTTGATGTTTCGGTGGGTCCGCGCTTTGTGTTTACGTCCTTTTTGCGCTGATTCGGCTGCAGGTTTGATCTCTCTCCAAACAATATTGACTGAACCAGCAGCAAAAGAAGATCCAAACTACGCTTCACATAAACATCGTCATGAATTCCCTCTGACTTTTCCTGTTTTGCTTCCACCACACTTCATGCACAGCTCTCTCTCTCTCTGTACCTCAAGAACAGCTTCCCGTCTAAAAATCTGTTTTCTGCATTATTCGCTTGCTTGCTATCACAAGTCTGCCGTTGTTTACAGCGCTGTCGGCCGCTGTTTTTTTCCTTTTACTTACTTCCCAAAAGAAAACACTTTTGATAAAAGCTCACAAGTGTCAGCTTTCTTTTTATAGATATAAAAATATGGGAATGTACTGATGCATGATCTGATTTATAATATTTCTGACTGAGGCAAAATTTCCCCAATTCGAATCGAATCTTGGATTGAATCGATTCGGGACCTTGTGAATTGGAATCAAATCGATTCTAGAAATCAGCGACGATACCCAGCCCTACTTGTGATATATAATTTATATATGTATAGTGAGTTGTATGTAAGGCAAGACACCAAGGAAGGAGCAAAGGACATGTAGGCAGAGAGATCAGGCTGGAAAGGATGTGCAGCAGGTTAGAGTGATTGAGGACAAATGAAAATGTGCTACCAATTAGAGAAAATCTACTGAGAAGATGATTCAATTCAATTTTATTCAATTTTATTTATACAGCGCCAAATCACAACAACAGTCGTCTCAAGGTGCTTTATATTGTAAGGTAGACCCTACAATAATACATACAGAGAAAACCTGATGGAAGGCTGAAGATCTGATGAATGAGAGCAAGAGGAGGACAAATAGAAAACAGTTAGTGAATCAGGAACTGCAGGGGATTAGTGAGGAGGAAGTGAGAGCAGCTCTCATAAGGAAGAGTGGAGTTTGGTTTAAGACGGCAGAGACAACCAGAGGAATCTGGCTTTACAGCACATTCATTCGTCTGAGGTTGTATGAGAGGCAGTTAGCACAGATGCTGGACACCATCACAAGCAAGAAATCTATTCACAAGCCAATAAAGAGAGAGAGTCAGATAAATGAAGAGAGAGACCATTAAATATGATCTGGGGTTAAGTGAGCAGCACATTAGGGCTGTGCTTAAATCACAGACAATGAGCTCTAGTCCACACAACAGCATTACAGACACATAAAACTGACTGACATCCAGATTCATAGGGACGGAGGATGTGACGGTGCAACACACACGTGTGTGCATTTGCTCAGTGCACGTTGGGCTGATGGCCGATATTAAAACAACTTATCTTGCTCTTCCTTCTGGGTGTAAAGGCTAGAATAAGGGGAACTTGAGAGGACGGGAGAATAACACCCCCACCACCACACACACACACACACACACACACACACACACACACACACACACACACACACACACACACACACACACACTTAATTACACCAGTCCCATAATTCAATAGGACCAAACAAGACAGTTGCTGGGGAATTCTGATTTAATTTACCAACATTTATCCAAAGACAGTTGCAACATTACAAAATACACTAGTAGTGTGAAAAACTGTACATCAGAAAAACTCATGTGCAGATGCAGAGATGGAAAAGGCAGTAAAAGCAGCCACCACATGTGAAGGATTGTGATAGCACGCAAAACTCTAAGGTGGCAAATATCATCAAGCTGAGCACTGTGCTGCAGTGGCATATACCACCATCATCAGTGCCTGGAGCCAGTGTGGCTCAGTGCTTTATTTTGTCTTTGAAACTGCCAGGCTCATTTTTCATTACCATCACTGTCAATGAAGCATTATTCATTGTTGAGCTAAGCCCTCTCAATTGCACAGCTATCTCAGCTAACCCAGCAATGAACTCCTAAATAACTGCAGACCAGGATTTGAATATTTCACCACATAATTGGTGCTTTAACATAATCTAGGGGAGCGGGAGCTGGTCTACTTTTCAGACAAGCACGAATCAAAAGGCGCATCAGGATCCAATCGATTGTAATAATGAGGGATTTCTCGCAATCTATAAACAAGTATAATTAGCACGAACCACACTAACCACTCCAACAAACAGCAAGCGCTGCTTACACTGAGACAACAGAATCAGTATACAACTGCATACATTGGAGCAAAATTGCTGTACTATAAGCCGGTTTGTTCCCCTTTAATAAGATCTCATTTCCAACTCAGAGGTTTATTATCACTTCCCCAAAAAGAGAGGCATATTATAACTGCCAGTGGATTTAAAACAAAATACTCACTTATGAAATCTGATGTGATGACTAAAACTAGTACTACCACTAGTTCATTAAACATACACCCCAATCTCCTGCCACCAAACGCTCTCCGTTAGGTTAAAAACAAACACAATCAAGTCAATATTGTCTCAACATGCTATGAATGTATCAGCTGTAATGCAGCTCCTACTGTTTGCCTGTGAAAGCATCACAGAATTTAGCTGACGTCAAGTAGGAGATGGTACTTTGGAGAGTTTCTAAACATTTCTATCACCTCTTACTTTTTTGCCATGTCACACTGAGTGCAGAACCTTCCCTCAGTGGGAAAGCTCATCTGCTTTCAGACTGGACAAACCAGGTCCTGATGTTTCTGATTGACAAGGCCCTTTGTGGATTAGCAGTCTCCAACTATCTGGCATTTCATTGCTTTTTAGTTTGGCATTTAAATAACTTTAAATAACTCTTGGCCTTGATGTCTACTGGCAGATGACAGAAGGGGGAGAAAGGCCTTGCGAGCACCCAGCTTAACTCAGTGCACAAATCTGTGGTTTAATTTACCCGAGGATAAAAGGACACAAGTTGGGTTTACGACATTTATTCCACTTTTCAGACATGTCAAAAACTGGAGGTTGGAGTGAGCCCCAGCCAGACGGATGGGCAGCTGCTGGTCTGCAAAAATCTCCCTGATGAGGATTTGCTTTTGACAATGGCTAAGTCTTCCAGTATTTACAGCTTTTGTTTAGTTTCTCCAATCTGTTGCATTCTATAAAAACTGCTGTAAACAAACACTATTACCATCGAACTCTGAGGCTAAAATCGCGATGTGGTTGCTGCACTTTTATTCTACTCGTCACAATTTATATCGAATATATGGCTGCTGAGAGGGGAACAACAATTGTCACTGAGGTTCTGTGAGGACTATCAGAGGCATACATCTGAGGTCTCAAGTTGCATTACAGGGAGATTTAGAGTACAGTACAAAAGTATGATAATGAGCTCCTTCTGTTTGTCCTTCTCTTACCTCTTTTCACTCGCCATGTATTATTGTAGGGTATTTACAAAGTGCCCCGAGGCAACTGTTTTTTGTGATTTGGTGCTTTATAAATAAAATGCACTTAAATTTGAATTGTACTGGTGCAGTAGCTGGATCAAACCACAGAAACACATTGCCATACAGGGATATGGCCATACAGGGGCATAAAGTCAAAGTAACAATGTAACATTTACTGCATAAAAAAATAATACAACTAAATGCTCGTTGCAGAATGACGTTGTTCAGGCACCTTGTTAAATCATACTTACCGTCGTGTACTTGCCAAGCTGGCAGAGGGAGGGGAACGTTTCTTGATGAGCCCTACGGATCTTTTCAATGATTGTCTCCAGCTCAGTTGTCAGCTCGTAGCTCTCTGCCAGATCCGGCTTTGGGCTCTCCTTCTTCTTCTTGTTCCGGTCATTTCTAACAGCTGGAGGAACACAAAAATTTGGATTATCCTCTAAACAAATGTAGCTCTTAGTGAAGCAAACAACATATAAGGCACCCCAACCAATCACAGCAGATGGCCCCGCCCCTCCCTGAGCCTGTTTCTGCCGGAGGTTTCTTCCTGTTAGAAGGGAGTTTTTCCTTCCCACTGTCGCCAAAGTGCTTGTTCATAGGGGGTCATATGATTGTTGGGTTTTTCTCTGTATGTATTATTGTACGATCTACTAACAATATAAAGAGCCTTGAGGCGGCTGCTGTTGTGATTTGGCGCTGTGTAAATAAAATTGAATTGAACTGAATTGAATAGAGGTAGAAATGTGTTGCTAGTAAGCATTTCTTTGATTACAGTTTAGAAATGTAGCCAGTCGTCAAATCAAACAAATCAGACCTTATATAAGGACAAAACCTTTCAGACTGTAGGCGACAGACCAGAAATGAGGTGAAAAATAAAGTAATTGTGGAAGTAACAGAAACTTCAAGGCCTCTAAGGCCACTTTAGGTTGGTTCCAAAAATGAGTCGGTCACCGTAAACCATGGTAAAATACACAACTCTAGCACATTAAAAACCACATTAACAGCCTAATACAAAAACAAGGTTTTAGATTCTAAAGATAGCGTCCCGCTTTATGAAAACTCTCAGGAGGAATAAATGGGCAAATAACTATTTGATCACTTTGTGAATTTGTAAGTCAGAAATGAACAGTCTCTAATTTAATGATTGCTTAATTTTAAGTGTGAGAGACAGAACAAAGGAACAGTAAAAGAAAAACTAAAATCCAGAAAACCCACATTAAAGAAAGGTTATAAAAGATAAAACATCTTCAAAAAGGAGAGAGTTGGCAAAAACTATAGGAACAGGTTTGTCATGAGTTATATGTGAATCAGGACAGAATCGAATAGTTAGAGAGATCGAGTTGGAAACAATGTGCAGCAAGCAGCGTTGGTCAAGTTACTTGAAAAAAGTAATTAATTACTGATTACTTCCCCCAAAAGTAATCCCGTTACTTTACTGATCACTTATTTTCAAAAGTAATTAATTGCTTAATTACTTAGTTACTTTTAAAAACACGATTTACAACCTGAGTAGGTGATAAAGTGATAGATCTTTCAGCCCAATTCTACTTTTTCTGCATAATCCATCATACAAAATGTAATCAAATTCAATTCAATTCAATTCAATTTTATTTATATAGCGCCAAATCACA